GGAGATGGACACCACTGGCCAGAAAAGCTTGAACGTTTTTCAGAATTTACACGATTAGAATTCAGCAAAGCGAATGGGATATCAATTCTTGAGTTCCCCTCCAGCACCCCCCCCCCATAATATCATGTACCTCTCGGGACTGAAAATGCTCACTGCTGATCTTCCATTTTCGCTCTGTATTAAGTGTAAACAACACCTGACATTGCTTATACAATGTCTAAGGCAACCGACAAACCAACAGTCTTACCCATAACTGAATTTAAACTCGCAAATACCTTCACAATAGGTGTTCAAGTACACAATTATAAGACGCATATTCCAGAAGTAGGCCTGATGCTGTGTGGTTGATGTAGGCCCCCTAGTGCTTTGACTCAACTGCACAACGGCATCGCAAACTTCACTTCTTACACAAGTCAAATTCTATAACGGTAAGAACTCGTGAGATGCTCAACTTAATCATTTTGTTGCCTATTTTATTTGTATTTACTTAAGACTTGAAAAAGAGCAACAGTAAAATGGAACGTCCGTATCCCTTAGTCTCAATTCAGAACGACTTATTTATGTATACCAAAATCGGGGGCTTCATCTCGCTACATTTGCCTGGAAAGAGCTGGCGCTCTTTGTCGAGCAGAAAACGAGTGCAAAACGAGGATTTCTTTTTGGATTAAGTAAATCTAGAAAGAAGGAAACATGGGAGTAACGTGATCGGTGTGGATGAAAGTCCACTCACTATCAAAAATAACGATCCGAGTCCTCTGCTTGTCTGCCATAATGTCTTTGACCGAATGTACTTTCCGAGTGAGCTTTGTATTTGCTACCTGCTCTGTTGGCCATGTCAAGGCCCTTTGCCTTTGTTGTAACCAACTGCTTTGCATATAAGGCCTCAGCACAAAAGACTTTCGAAAGCCATGGAAGTCTACTAGTATTTCACGTCTTATTTTGACACTCATCTCACATGTTGAAATTTAGGGGGTAATTTCATCATCTATTTGTTGATTTATTGTATGTTTTCAGTGCACGGTATTTTAGAGTATATTACCCAGCCTACAGCACTTCCAGACACGAACTGTAAATTTCAAAAAGAATGCCTATAATAAGCAATGTCGTGTTTTTCAAGATCTTTAGGGGGAGCGGGTTTTTTGCGGTGCTTTCCTCTCTTTGAGTTGCACCAGTGAGGCCAGGGTTCAAGTCCCGGCTTGGCCCAGGCTTTTAAGTGCATTTGGTTTCCAGTCCATACTCGCTCTCGCAGGTGTTCTCCGGGTACTGCGGTTTCCTCCTGCCTCTAAAACTGGACCTTCTTAGTAATGTGATGCTGATTAATAAAGGTACAGTTATGAATAAACGTATAGTTATTTGGCGCAAATAGCCCGAGGAACTGAAAGCGCCATTAAAAAAAGCCACAACAAGATCTTTAAGTAATAGAAATTAATATACAAAAGTCCTAATGATACCTCTCAAACATTAAGCGTTAAATTTCAGCACCCATGGTCCATGGTCTACACGACATATCAAACACTGGCGTGGTTTTATTTTAGTCATTGATGTCGGCCATGTTTTTTCCCCATTCTTTTCCCAGCTTTTTTCTTGTATCTTCAAGTTGAGAATGTAGAGCTAGAGTCTGCTTCTTTTTGCATTTAAGAATCATCGAAGACAATTTTGTCGAAGGGTAAACCTGTTCCGTCCACTGGAGACACGAGAAAGAGAAAGTAAAGAAACAATGACAAACGATAACATAATTCTTTTTTTTTCATAAATCACCTGCCCTCACCGGGAAAAGTAACAGCGTACCAGTTATTCACAATGAGATTATCATCCCGAAAATGGTTGACATGATTTTTCGATTTAACCTGGTCGGTGGCGGAGATGTGAGCAGAAAAATCCAGAGAGGCTTTTGGACAATGGGTATTTTCATTTCATCTCATCAGAACCTTCAATCACCACGCATGGGATCCCAAGCTGCGCTCCCCATTTCGGAGAATAGAATAGTTCTCCATTTCCATCACACCTACCACCGAGGCTTCATTGTCGCCTCTAAAGACCAACGGCATTTACACTTTTAATTCAGTGAAGTCACCCGTGTCACAAGACAACAGGGGTTGTACCCACAAAACACAGTTCTCTATATCGCTGTTTCCCTTAAAGGGGCACTGCCAGCGAAGCTCACCAGGATTTCATGGGCCCTGTAAAAAAAAATAAAATAAAGTCAGTGCCACTAATCTAGAAATAAGCAGTATCGGGGCAGTCCCGCAATCAACCAAGTGAGGGTCATTTAAGGCCAATCAGATGTCAACAGCTTTGTAACAATTGTTTGTTCAAAGGTCAGATATGTACTTTTACAGTTTCAAACGAGCGGGAGGCGGAGATGCAACTCTGGACCGTAAGTTTTTTTTTCGCCAGATGGACATATCATGGATCAGGACGGCGGAAATTTTTGGACTTGGAACTTGGAAATCTTTTCTGCTTCCTGATTCAGCCTGTGCAGTATTGCGTATTTACATCTGAAATACGTTGCCATTATTCGCTGCTCATCTTAAATCAGTTATTTCGTTCTCGAAATAAAGAGCAGGACCTCTGACATTTGTAACGACAGTACGAAAAGCTCTACGTTCGGAATAACGCGGATGAGTTTTTCTTGTGGGATGTGGGGAGGCTAAAAGTATCTTGGGCTGAATAATTCGCTAACAAGATAAGCCCACAACAACTTAAAACGAAACCTAAATATATCCGTTTTCTATATTTTATTTAACAAACCTGAAGAGTACAGTGGTTTTATTTCCAAAGACTAAAAGTATACAACTATGGCACTCTTTGTTGTCAGACAATCAGACAAAAAAAATCACCACGATTTCATCGAAGTATCATCTATATAGTTTCGATAGAATTACTCCCTCAAGCTTTAGTCGGGCGTTGGGTCAGGGTTGACATGTGGGATGAGTGTGGAAATTTCAATGCTGCCGTGAGGTTTTATAAATTCCAGCAACATTAAAAGGAAATTTAAAATCACAAAGGAAGTATATCAAAGGGGATCCACAAAAATTAGAACAAGCTGGTTAAAATTGTACTAAAACTATATTTTTTCATATCAGAAGATAAACACTCCTTGTGAGTTGATATTTCTTTATAAATGGAAAGGATAAGGACTTACACAAATTTCACCTATATAATTAATGTGGTTTTCGTAGGCGTCAAGCATTTGCGCCCTCAACGTCGGGAAACTTTGGTAAAAGCATCCCGGCTTGAGGGCGTTCTTTTTGCTGTATAGCTCTTCCACAGTTTTAGAAGTAGTAGCCCCGCGACTCATATGAAGCAAAATATGAGAGTGCTTCGTGTTGGTCATTGTCTCACTGGAATCTGAGCAATTCTTTTCAGACATCTAGGGGGATGTTTGAGGTAACAATAGTCTAGAGTGTGTATAGCGATTAGACAATTTTTTGTGGGGGGGGTACCCCTCGGTCTCATTTCTTGCTGGATATATAGTGGCTCTCAGCAACGAGATTCATGTTATTAAATCTGTTGTGACAATAAAGTTGCAATGAATACAGCAGCGTAGCCGGGGGAGGCGCCCCCATAAAAAATTTTCGGCCCCAACAGAAATTCGGAAAACAAAGAAATCGTAATATTATTGGGCCCTTAGAAAAAATGGGACTGGTGCCGCCTCACTGTAACATCAGTTTCCTAACCCCCTATATAGGGAGAAGAACCTTTGCAATGCATAAAGTGCCATATCGGAATAACACGCCATTAACAAAGGGAGACTTTCAGACGCTTGGTGGCGGCAAACACACAAATCCATGTCCATGAACTTGTTTCACCTTTGGTCAGTGGTTAAGTAGTTTCATGACTTGGTGTTGCCTCTGTTACGTCATTGACAAAAATACATACAGTCGGTGCTCTTAATTTAGCTTATTGCTGAGCTTTCGGTAACTGGGTACCTCTGTCAGATGACGTAATCGTTTCTAGTTATTCGTTTTTTTGGGGGGGGGGGAATCCTTAACATGTTCCTGAGCTGGTTATAACTTTGACGTCATAAACATGTTTGTGGTTTGGGATTGCCCCAACACGCTTCTGTTCTAAGCATTCGCTGGTTGTTCTGAGCATGCATGTACAGTGACTAGGACCAGTATGTCTGCTGCCACCATCGTCTCAAAGCGGACTCCAATTCTGGCACCATTCTCATGCTAGGTGCAGACCCATTTTCGTCCATCTACATCTTGAAAAATGAAATAAATTAACCGAAACGGCTTCCAACCTACACGGCACTTCCCTGATGACCCCTGACATGTTGCCTCATGCTTTAACGCTAGGCGATACCTGATTTCATCCAGAGTCGTCAGGAATCCTCGGAGCTGGGATCCTGACTTACCCTCGACGTCGTCGGCCCGTTGAGTCAAAGCAGCGCAGATATGTCCCTGAGTGGTCACGTCCTATCCTGTTTACTGTGTAAATTTCGGAAGTTATCTTACCGAGGCAGCGTGGGAAAAATCACCACTCACCTGAAAAAAAACTGAATTCCTTATTCCTATATTATGCATGAGTCAGCCCCCCCCCGCCCAAATGCTTGTAACACAAAACATCTCCTTTTGTTTTGGGCAAAAGAAATTTATCTCAAATATTCACATGGTCTTAGTACATCACGTCCGAAAGAAAGAAAAAGAAATTTAAAATCATTAATTCAAATAATAGGAGACCAGTGCAAAGTCCCAAGTCGATTATCTCCAAGATCAATTTGCATGTCAGTTTTATAAGAGGGAAAAATATCATACATTTATGATTTCCCTCTGGCGTTTCATTGAGGCCATGCTTTCAGAAAAAAAACATCTTCCAAGGCTCTGACTTTCTTATATACGTCACTGATAACAATGATTAACGTTTTCTCTTTAATTGGATGCCTTGGTCGGCTTTCAGTTTCGATATAAACCCCATTAATACGATTTCTGATAACACCGTAGAGAGATGTATTGTCTGTATTGTGCACTATTGGAATTCATCAAGATCCTTGGAAATGATAGGCAGTCAAAGTACTAGAGTTCGCGCGCATGTTTGAGAAGCGTGCCCGTGTTGTCAGTTACAATGATGTATGCTGGTTCCGTCCCCCCGCGATCACGTCAAAGCCAGTGACGGCCGGGCATTCATACTGAAGCAGAATTCATAATGATAAAGTTGATCATTTTCGCTGAGTACGGGAGAAAGTACGTTGCGTTCGTGTGTATTTCAAAGGGTGACGCATGCGTCCCCCCGCATACACCGGATGAGTTCTGGGAATTGCTTTTACAAGCCATCATCGTCTGGTATCAAAGCACAAAGTGCCATGACTTTTGGCAGTTCATGTATACCCCTTAGTCGACAAAATTTGTGAATGCTGTTGGATTTCCACAACTGTTCATCATCAGTTTTCCGAGATTTGTCCTTATCTTCTCAGTTCCGACGACCTTCCAAGTTGCTGAGAATGCAATTGAGATCTGTGGTGCTGTCCCGCCAACCACATGAGAAATGACAGTAATTTAAGTCCGTGCAGGCGCAAACAGGTAATTTTGATACAGAATGTGACAGTATACTGCATAGGCAATCGATATTGAACGGTTTGAAATATACACCATGCATACGTTACAGGAACCGGACATCAACACACTTAACCCGGATTTTCACTGCGGTTCACAGTGCTACGCTACCTCCAGTCACGGTACAGAATACTTCAGTTTTCTGGGCTAAAGTGTGGAGCCCCATGCATGCATTAGCAGACTGAGCAAGCCTCTAGTGAGTTCAACAGGCCCGCCGACAGAGCGAGCCTTTTACCCTGCCTTAGACGGTCAGTATAAGTCGCCTTTTGCACGCAATCCGCAATCAGAACTTTAAAGTGTGTTTGTTTTCTCTCAGCGGCGTCGAGAAAAACATCACTTTATCTCTCTAGAAAACCTCTTCCATATATCAAAGGTTGCAGTGCAGTTGACGAGGGCCAAGGGTAGCTCTTTAGCCGGGACGTTTGTCCTGACGAAATAATCTGGAAGGAGTTCGACAGTGTTTGCTTTTAAGGATTGCACCACACCGTTTACTTGACAACGGGTATCGCTGGATAAAGATGTGTCGAAACCTTTAAAAGGATCATGCTCTTTGAACCTGGACACTGGCTTAGCGCTCCTTCCTTGTTCGTGTTTACATCCGATAAAAGTGGATCGTCCTGACGTCATTGCCGCGGAGTGATAAATTATTCGAGGATTTTACATCACCAACACAGGTGGATGTATTTCTGGCTTGTAAACTAGACATTCATGGACACAACAACAGCACTATATATCAGATGCACCTTCTTGGCTCTCTTAAAACTATCCGGACCTGTGGATCTAAAACATCAGCATACAAGTCTCAGCGATTAAATTATAATATCTCGATAAGGTTTGCTGTAACATTTTTCCGCAAACTGGAATATTGTAGAGCGAGAAATTGATGTCAAAATGACGATAAACGTTGATCTGTTTGATTCCCAGAATGGTACAGTGGACCCTGGAGTTGGGGGCAGAGACTTGGCTTTCAGTGTTATTCAGGCGGTAGCTATCTGCATCTTCGCCCTCCTGACCGTGTGTGGAAACACTCTCATCATCCTCGGCATCATCAGGTTCCGCGTACTGCAGACCATCACCTCGGCTTTCATCCTGAATTTGGCCGTTGTGGACTTCTTGGTAGGAGTCACCCTGATGCCGGTGGCGCTGATCACCTGCATTAAGCAGGAGTGGATCCTCGGAAATGTCTTCTGCAAGATCAGCGGGGTGATCAACATGCTCTTCTCCGTGGCCAGTATCTCCACCCTGTCGGTCATCGCTATAGACCGGTACTGCGCCATCATCAGACCCTTGAAGTATGCCTCTTTCATGACCAGGCGCACCGTGGCCGTGTTCCTGGTCTGGGTCTGGGGACAGAGCCTCTTGATCGCTCTACTCCCTCTGGCCCCGTGGTCCGAATACAGATACGATTCAAGCGAACTCCTGTGCCTGATCGCTTGGGGATCCACTCACTTCTCCTTCGCAACCTTGTGCCTCTTTGTTTGCATTATCGTACCCCTTGGGATCATGTTCTTCTGCTACTACCACATCCTGAAAGTAGCACGGCACCACTCTCGGAGGGTCAACGCCCTCAAGACAATTTCAATGAATTCCTTGGCCAGTAACCACACCCTGGCAGATTCAGACGCGACAGGAGCGTCGGGCACGAGTGGCGACACGCGGCTCGCGATCGAGAGCCAATCCCACCGTTGCCACCAACCGAAGAAGCCCAAGAAGGTGTGCGGGGCCATCCACGTTGCCTCGCGGGAGAATAAATCGACGGCCATGATGATGATGGTGGTAGGGACATTTATCCTTGCCTGGTTGCCGTATATAACAGGGGCTCTCTGCAAAGTGATAGCCAGTGAGTGCTTGTGGCCGAAAAGTTATTTCACCGTCTGTGTGCTAGTGGCCATGTTGCAATCTTCGCTGAATCCTATCATATACGGCGTAATGGATCGCCGTTTTCGCGGAGCTATGAAGGCTATCGTCATGTGTTCCAAACGTGCTGCTGTTGACTGCGATGGATAACACGCATCGTTCAACAACTGCACTCTAACAACTATTCTCCATTGTAGCGGTTAGTGCGCAAATTCTCAGCAAAGAAAACTTGCATTTATTGAAGAGCAAACATGAACCACTTCGTTTTGTTTTAGTTAGTGAGACTTCAGAAACATACAGGCGTTTTCAGAACAGGTACGACAGAGCAAACCACACTCTGTTTATTTATGTACATTTATAATGTATGTTTACTTACTTTTACTTACTTTACTTTAGCAATTTTCATTCTTGAATTTCAGCAGTAACTCAAGAAGCGACAAGTATTCAGTTTCTAAGTTAACACTTTAACAAAGTTTATTATAGTGATATCGGAATAGCACGCTGTACTAAGATTGTTACAACACTTTTCATTTTATGTAAAAAAAGATGAACACATTGAGCAATAAGTTTCAATTAAATCTCATCCCAATTTTCAGAAACAGAACAGCAGCGAAAATTGTACCTGAATAAATTAAGATAAGCAGGAATAGACAGTGAAATTATTCTAACATCTCCAGGCCATTGGGTCGGATTTACTTGCATATTTGCGGTCGGTGCAGCTCTTTAATGATATGATATTTTGGAACAAAATAATTATTAAACACGGGGGGGTATTGCCAGTTGTGTAACATGTTATTTTCCATGACTACTAGAAAAATGCACCATCGTTTGAAAGAGAAAGTCATTGCATTGCAGCAACTGAATGATGACTGTAGCTCTATCTGTAAGTGTTATAATTTTGAAAGGAAAAAACCTGCCGGGAAACAGTACAACTCTAAGATGTGTAGGTACGGAAATAGCTTGTTATTCAATCGTTGTTTACTTTTCCTGGTGAAAAGCAGATGGCCTTACCAACAGAAAACAATAGATACTCGAGATGAGAGGTTTGTGTGTTTCTTTGTACAAAACTGATAATTGAGCTTGTTGTACGGGACGATCGTGACGTTGATACCCCACGGGTTCGCGCAGTAGAGATTATTGTTGGAATGAAGTGACTGAAAGTAGCGAAATTGAGTCGAATAAACTCAAAATGTATACGTTCTTCGAGGGTTAGTGTTTGGGTAACTGGACTTTTAATTCGTTTCTATTTAAAAATATTTATTTCTGTATTATGGAAAGTTATTAATATT